GGGCGTTTGGGGTGGGGGGCGCAGAGGGTTTTCTCTCCCCCTCCCCAAAATTACACAGGGACCCCCCCCATGGTGTGCGGACCCCCAAAGAGGGGCTGAGCACCCCCAAAATGGGGTCTGGGACCCCAAATCGGGTCTGGGACCCCTCCCCAAATGGGGTCTGGGACCCCAAATCGGGTCTGGGACCCCTCCCCAAATGGGGTCTGGGACCCCTCCCCAAATGGGGATTGGGACCCCAAAATGCGGTCTGGGACCCCTCCCCAAATGGGGATTGGGACCCCAAATCGGGTCTGGGACCCCTCCCCAAGTGGGGTCTGGGACCCCAAAATGGGGTTTGGGACCCCTCCCCAAATGGGGATTGGGACCCCAAATCATGTCTGGGACCCCTCCCAAATGGGGTCTGTGCCCCTATTTCGGGTCTGGGACCCCTTCCCAAATTGGGTCTGGGACCCCAAATCGGGTCTGGGACCCCTCCCCAAACGGGGTTTGGGACCCCCTCCCAAATGGGGTCTGCGATCCCAAATCGGGTCTGGGACCCCCAATCGGGTCTGGGACCCCTCCCCAATTCCCCCCCGGGTTCTGTTCCCGCCCCCTCCCCAAATGGGGTCTGGGGGTCCTTTCCCCCTCCAGGGGTCCCTCTGGACCCCTCCCCAATGCCCCCTCCCGGTTTTTGTTCCCGCCCCCTCCCCAAATGGGGTTTGGGACCCCAAATCATGTCTGGGACCCCTCCCCAAATGGGGTCTGTGCCCTCTTTGGGGTCTGTCCCCGCCCCCTCCCCAAATGGGTGTGCACAGGCACCTGTGTGTGCAGGTGTGTCCCGGCTATGTACAGGTGTGCCCAGGTGTGCTCAGGTGTGTACAGGTGTGTGCCAGGTGTGCCCCAGCTATGCACAGGCTTGTCCCAGGTGTGTGCCAGGGGTGCCCAGGTGTGTAAGGGCTGTATGACAGGTGTGCTCAGGTGTGCACAATGTGTCCCAGGTCTCCAAGGTGTGCTCCAGGTGTGCCCCAGGTGTACACAGGTGTGTACAATGTGTCCCAGGTGTGCCCAGGTGTGAACTGGTGTGCCCCAGGTGTGTAAGGACTGCATCACAGGCGTGCCCAGGTGTGTCCCACGTGTGCCCAGGTGTGTACAATGTGTCCCAGGTGTGTAAGGGCGGTATCCCAGGTGTGCTCAGGTGTGCACAGGTCTGCCCAGGTGAGTCCCAGGAGTGTACAGTGTGTCTCAGGTGTGTAAGTGTTGCATGGCAGGTGTGCTCAGGTGTGCCCAGGTGTACACAGGAGTGTACAGTGTGTCCCAGGTGTGTAAGGGCGGTATCCCAGGTGTGCTCAGGTGTGCACAGGTGTATACAGGTGTGCACAATGTGTCCCAGGTCTCCAAGGTGTGCTCCAGGTGTACACAGGAGTGAACAGTGTGTCCCAGGTGTGTAAGGGCAGTATCCCAGGTGTGCCCAGGTGTGTAAGGGTTGCATGACAGGTGTCCCAGGTGTGTCCAAAGTGTGCTCCAGGTGTGCACTGGTGTGTCCCACGTGTGCACAATGTGTCCCAGGTCTCCAAGGTGTGCTCCAGGTGTACACAGGAGTGAACAGTGTGTCCCAGGTGTGTAAGGGCAGTATCCCAGGTGTGCCCAGGTGTGTAAGGGTTGCATGACAGGTGTCCCAGGTGTGTCCAAAGTGTGCTCCAGGTGTGCTCTGGTGTGTCCCACGTGTGCCCAGGTGTGCACAATGTGTCCCAGGTCTCCAAGGCGTGCTCCAGGTGTGCCCCAGGTGTACACAGGTGTGTACAATGTGTCCCAGGTGTGTAAGGGCTGTATAACAGGTGTGCCCGGGGTGCATCCCAGGTGTACAATGTGTCTCAGGTGTGCCCAGATGTGTCCCAGGTATGCCCAGGTGTACACAGGTGTGTACAATGTGTCCCAGGTGTGTAAGGGCTGTATAACAGGTGTGCCCGGGGTGCATCCCAGGTGTACAATGTGTCTCAGGTGTGCCCAGATGTGTCCCAGGTATGCCCAGGTGTACACAGGTGTGTACAATGTGTCTCAGGTGTCCAGGTGTGCACAGATGTGCTCCAGGTGTGCAAGGGCTGTATAACAGGTGTGCTCCAGGTGTGCAAGGGCTGTATAACAGGTGTGCCCGGGGTGCATCCCAGGTGTACAATGTGTCTCAGGTGTGCCCAGATGTGTCCCAGGTATGCCCAGGTGTACACAGGTGTGTACAATGTGTCCCAGGTGTGTAAGGGCTGTATAACAGGTGTGCCCGGGGTGCATCCCAGGTGTACAATGTGTCTCAGGTGTGCCCAGATGTGTCCCAGGTATGCCCAGGTGTACACAGGTGTGTACAATGTGTCTCAGGTGTCCAGGTGTGCACAGATGTGCTCTAGGTGTGCAAGGGCTGTATAACACGTGTGCTCCAGGTGTGTCCCAGGTGTGCACAGGTGTGTACAATGTGTCTCAGGTGTCCAGGTGTGCACAGATGTGCTCTAGGTGTGCAAGGGCTGTATAACAGGTGTGCTCCAGGTGTGTGCCCAGGTGTGCCAGGTGTAGCAAGTGTATTCCAGGTGTGTCCAGGTGCATCTCAGTATGCTCAGGTGTGCCCAGGTATGCTCAGGTGTATCCCAGGTGTGTCCCACGTGTGCCCAGGTGTGTAAGGGCAGTATCTCAGGTGTGCACTGGTGTGTCCCACATGTGCCCAGGTGTGTACAATGTGTCTCAGGTGTGTAAGGGCTGTATAACAGGTGTCCCCAGGTGTATCCCAGCTGTGTCCCAGGTGTCCCCAGGCATGTCCAGGTGTGCCAGGTGTATCCCAGGTATGCCCAGGTGTGTCCCAGCTGTCCCCAGATGTGTCCCCAGGTGTGTCCCAGCTGTCCCCAGGTGTGTCCCAGCTGTCCCCAGGTGTGTCCCAGGTGTCCCCAGGTGTGCCCCCCAGGTGTCACTCACTGCCCATCGATGACACGGTGACAGCAGCTGCAAATGATGTACCTCAGGGGTTGGGGCTGTGTCCCCCCAGGTGTCCCAGGTGTCCCCAGGTCTCACCAGGTATCTCTCCGAGGACATGTGCCAGGTGTAGCAAGTGTATTCCAGGTGTGTCCAGGTGCATCTCAGTATGCTCAGGTGTGCCCAGGTATGCTCAGGTGTATCCCAGGTGTGTCCCACGTGTGCCCAGGTGTGTAAGGGCAGTATCTCAGGTGTGCACTGGTGTGTCCCACATGTGCCCAGGTGTGTACAATGTGTCTCAGGTGTGTAAGGGCTGTATAACAGGTGTGCCCAGGTGTATCCCAGCTGTGTCCCAGGCATGTCCAGGTGTGCCAGGTGTATCCCAGGTGTGCCCAGGTGCGTCCCAGATGTGTCCCCAGGTGTGCCAGGTGTCTCATGTGTGTCCCAGCTATCCGAGGTGTATCCCAGGTGTGTCCCAGCTGTCCCAGATGTGTCCCCAGGTGTGCCAGGTGTG